ACTCCGCCGCACAGGCAATCTGTTTTCTATATTACCAGCCTGTATCACTGTACTATGCACTATAGAACAGCAATTGAGCAGGAAATTAAGTTAGGGGATCGGTATTTGGCGGAGGAGAACGAGCTGGTGTGGTCTTCTCTCTCCACATACAAGGATCATTAAATATCACATGAGTTTTTTGATAAATTTCCTCTTCTCCTCTATCTGCTGTTCCCATCAACTCACTCCCCTCTTTCTCCTCTCTCCTTTTCTGTCTGTCTCTTTTCCTTCTTCTTCAATTTCCCTATCATCATCTGCCCGTTTCTCTCTCGTCTTGCTGTATTTGTAGAGTGTATGAACCAAAACATCCTAATGGATGTTTAAACAGCTTGAGATGTGTCAGCCTGGGAACTACCTCCCTGTGACAGGGAGCTCTAGCAGGGAATTGAGACCATTACAAGAGGAAAATAGGGGACATATTTCTTTCTTTTCCTTTTTGTTTATTTCTCTTCCTCTTTCTGGGTCCTTTTCTGTAGTCGCCCTCACTTCTCTGTGTATTTTTTCACTTTATTTCTCTGTCCATACAAACAGAGTACAGCACCTAAGCACTTCTGGATTGGATATGGGGGAAGCCTTTTATACCTTGTTGATTTTCCTCCCCTCCTTTTCATATGTCCTCTTCTGCTTTTTTTCTTCTACCTCTTATGCTTAACCCTTTTCACTGAGTGACTGTGTAAGTAGTCTGTGCGTGAAGAAAAGAGAAAGTGAGAGCAAGCTAGGTCAGTGCGTCACCACTCAAAATTGCAATACTTAACTTTCACTGCAGCACTGGCAGCACATGTACGCACAAAACCACACATACCAGTTCTCTGCACTCCTGTGTGAACCCTCGGTTTTATTTTTTGGCACAAAAAGGACTTTTTGTTTCTTTTATTAACTTCTTAATCATAAACCTCATTATCAAACTAATAATTAACTTATATTTCAGATTACTTTTAGGTTAATTTTGGGTATTCAAATGACCTAGATCTCAACTTATTAATGAAATGTATATTCATAGAAGACATTGATTCCATTACTTCCTCTGCATACTTTGGGGAAAATCTTTATTTGGTGTGTTTAAGTGGACCTGAGTGGACCGCAGCACATTTTGTGCTGGATATAATAAAACAATCTGATGAAGTTATCATGTTAATGTTTAAATGCTATTACCAAATTACCTAAATATTTTTAGATTTCCCTTATTTAATATCTACTGAGGTTTATAACTAAAGCCATTTTTTCCTTATATGAAGATGGGACTGGCTCATATGGAAACGGTTATCCCCCTTCAGTGATTGACATTTTAAGTTTCTTGGTCAGAACAATGTTTTTGCCCAAAACTGAAAGCAGACACTGGCTTTATAACATCCGACCAGAAAGACAGCAGCAGACATAGAAACACTCTCACAAGGACAATGAGCTCCTACTGCTACAATCTAAGGTCAATCAGTAGCGCTGACAGCTAAATTAACAAGTGCTACAAGCACCATTACATTTGGCTCCTGATTGTGTAACAATAGATATACTGTATCAATACACTGTCAGACAGATAATCAAACACATCAATATCTATAAATAAGCACATGAAAGGAAAAACATATATTACTCTGGAGGTAGATTTACGACCATCATTGGCCACATGGAACACACACGGCACTCCAGGCCGGTGCATTGGTCAGGTTAGTGGGAGGCAGTCAGAGAGATAAGCCGCCAAACAGGTCTAAATCCCTGCTGAAGCTGACTTGATGGACAGACAGGCCACCATTAACAATGCGGTGGCTTGTGAGAGCAGCAGCTGATGGAAAGATACCCTGGCATTTGCTGTGTTAAGAAGTGGCCCTTAAAGATTTCACACTTCCAATTTCTTTGAATTATCTGCCATCTCCAGCCTGTCACTCAGCCTGACAATCTCAGATTCTTGCTCACTGAGGCACCAGGCTGGTTATTGACAAAGCAATCCGCCGTGATACAGCAAAACCTGATAAAACATTAGTCAAACAACACGGCGTACAACTCGAGGCCCACCTCACACATGGGCAGATGCTCACACTCTTCATTTGGCCTTATTCTCTTTTCTCACTCAATACATTGAGTGCAGCTTTTAAAACTATATAGCGATGCTCGAAGGATTTTCAAACATTACATTAGGTTCATATGTGTCCGTGTCTTTTCATAATACCAAAAATCTGTAATTCGGTGTGACTTGAAACTTTGTGAATCTGCACTATATATCACAATTTGCTAGACTGTAGCTTACAGAGCAGAATGGATTTGTTAAGGTCCACTGATGAGGCAGTGATGACAGCCAATGCTGTTATGAGACAGAACAGACTGCTTATCAGATCTTTACTGGTTTGATTCGCTCGCTGCTCCAGACAGGCCATGATAGAAATATCACAACATCCCTATTACCCTCAGCATTCAGTACATAGTGCACAGCCTGTGCTTTCTATGAATTATTAAAAGCAGACAGATTACGCTGCAAGGCTGCAAGACTGCTAGACTAGAGGCACGCTACAGATGCTGCTGAGCAAAACAGTAACATCAGAAGTGTGTTTGTTCTTTTTTTAGAGAAGGGGCCTTTCTTTTTTTTCCTTTTTTTTCCTGTTCCGTATCAGATTAGAGGGGGTGGCCGTTTAGATAGGTGTATGAGTATGTGGATAAGAAAAAGGAAAGAGTGGGTGGGGTTTTGGACACGAGCGTAGGCCTGTGCACATGCGTGAGTGTGTATCTGCGTATGTGTGTGTGGCGAAAGATGAAGGGGGGTGAAGGGCATAGTGTCAGGGCTTGTCTGACATGTGGCCTGGTGGGTTGGCTGGATGGTTGGTTTGCTGTCTAGATGGCTGGTTGGGTGCAGCCCAGCTCGAGCCTGGCAACTCTCTCTCTCACTCTCTCGCTCTCTCTCTCTCCCTGGAGTGACGGGCTGAGACATTAAGACAGGCATTTTAATTAACTGTGCCACTCTTCCACCTGCTGCCCTCAATATGCTCCGGCCCTGGCAAGCTGTCTCTCATACCACTGACTCTCTTGCTCCCTTTTTGTTCCATCTTTTCCCATCTCTCTATCATTTTTTTTTCTCTACTCTCTCCACTTCTTTCCCTCAGTTTCTTTCCAATTTTCAAATCTCATCCTTCATCACTCTGATTTTCTCTCCCTAACCTCTCTTTTCTGTCCGTTGTGCATCCCCCCGCAGTTTGACCCTAATAAATGAAAACTCATACCAATAGATAAGGCGATTCATAACGCTCAAATGACAGAATTAGCCAATTTCTTTTTTGAACTTGGAGAGAATTAATTCCTACATGTGTCCTGTTCTACTGACCCTCTAACTACCCCCCACCAATCCCACACACGTACACACACAGTCAGTCCACACACACTCTCACGCTCTTCAAATCTATCTGGTAATTCAGTTCTGCCCGACACTCATCAGGCTATTCATTAAGGCCTGATTGGAGATGGATATTTCTGTTCCCTCATGACAGAATGGAACTAGGGATCAAACCGGGGACATTACAGGATTTAGAAGAGCAACGGCAACACACAGCAGCGTTGAGTGTGCGTCCTCACACTTGGACACGTCTGTGCGAATTTGTGCTCATAAATGTTTGTATTAATATGTGTAAATGTATGCCTGGCGGTTTAAGAATCTCATTTAGTGCCTTGACTCCTGTAGTTTAATCATTTAGATCATAAATTGAGAATTAATTCAAACAGAACGGAGCAACAAATGATCCACTTTTAGCACTCTACTTAAATTGTATTACACTTTTAATGGGGTTAATAATAGACGGCATTAGCAACACAGGAAAACGACACTACAAAGTGTTGTATTAAAAGGATTAATGTTCTCCCTTCAGAATTAAAGCCAGGTCTTGGAGATACAGCTAAAACTAACAAATGGCCCAGCTCTGGCTCCATGATGGGGCCTCAGTCGCAGCTGTACTACAGTAAGAAGACAGCAACTGGGGCCAATATATCAGCCTGGCAGACAGGGAGCATTCATCTGCCGTGTGAGGAGAAGTGACTTTGAAGTTCTCCGCAGTGAGGTGAAAGAGCAGCCGTGGCCTCAACCTCTCTGTTTATGTAGCCGCACTAGCCCTGGGAGAGCTCTTAATGAATGATGTGGATAGATGGACACCACAGCTAAAAGCACACACTCACACGCCTGTGTGAGGGCCAAGACACACACCGAGGATTTACACATACTTTATGTTCAGGTCATGGAGGTCATTTCTACAATTCATGCAAGCATGTACTCTATGTCTACATGTGTTACAAACAGAAAAATGCATCACCAGCAGACAGAGACTTTGTCCTCATAAATATGTTTTCATTTTAAAAAAAAACTGCATTTTAAAATTAAAAAAAAAAAAAAAAACTATCTCCACCCAAGTGAGTGTTTTGGAAATAATCTCCATCTATACCAACACTCGTGAAAACACATTGACCATTCAGCTGAAAAAACTGCTGGACACAGGAATAATCACAAATCGCTTTAACAACAACTTGCCTCCTGTGGATGTCGGCAGTAGTATCATGATAAAATGTCGGATTTAACTGCACCACAGCTGGATCACAGACACACAAAAAGATTAGCAACACCTGTATTTTGCGGCCCACAAGCAGCCAACCCCGATGTTTTCTTCTAGAAAAAGTTCATGTGACAGTGGTGTGATGAACTAGAAAGGGCATGTAGAAACTAATAAGACCCAATCAGCAAGTGAATACGGGTGTCTGCATCATCATTTCAAAAAGTTTCCACTTCTGCCTAACCCGATACAAATGCAAGAGTTTTCAATCTAAAACAAGGTCAGCAGCATCTCCAAATGTCTCAGTTTTAGGGGTCCTAACATGGCAGAGTAGTTTGGGCACGAGCCGTAAATGTAGCAAAAATTATGTGTTTTAAAACTGTGAACGTAGCCTGAAGGTACCGCCTGAATTACAGTAATAGGTTTCAAATATGAGCAAAGACTAACCTGTTAGAAGCAGGCTATGCCAACAACCTCCAGCAACGTCTCTCACTGGCAAGCTTGGTACAGTCACCTCCTCTGGGAACAGGATGTTGCTCTTTGTGTTCCCACATGCCCGTCCACAGCCCCACTGAAACAATCTGCCGTCACCTGCATGGCATCAAGTTGTAAGTTTATTTAGCAAACTTGTCAAGTTTCCAATTTAAGAAAAAAAAAAAAAAGAACAGCGGGTTATTTATGCAAATCAATACACAGACAATTTCAATGTAACAATATAAGATCTCACTTAAATACAAAAATCCCAAATTTAGTACACAAAGGTAAATATATCCAATATGACCGGTACATGATAATATCAACTGATAGGAGATGTTTTGAACTCAGTGCAGTTCCTCCATTAATTGCAAAGTACAGCCGGGGCCTCACACCCCCTGCAGCTCATATTGCATCTCTCTCCAGCACACCTCTAGGAGCATGTTGTCCTTGTTGTGCTACTGCTGCGTGGGGGCCTCTGGAGATAAATTATGGATGCAACGCAAAAGCTGTAAAATTTGTTGTATCTTCTATTATCTTCATGTTAAAGGCCACAAAAGCTCTTCAGTGAAGTCAGCCATTAAGAAATGACAGGTATTGCTATCAGGCTTCTTTATAGGCTATTACCTGCAATGACAGCAGCTGCTGCTGCACCACTGTACGGCCTATCACATTATTTGCAGCTAAAGTCAGCTACTGTGTCATTTTGCCTCATTTTCTTGACAGTGCTATCATAAATCCATTGGGCTGCAGGGGAAACTGTCGACTACCTCGATTATCTTCATAGCCTGAATGAATTCTGAAATGTATGTAACAGGCAATGACTGTTATGGATCAGGAGCCAGGGCCATATTCTCACTAACTCTCTCTCTCTCTCTCTCTCCTTCCTTGTATCTCTCTCAGGTGATGTGCTGATCGAGGGCTTGAGGGCTCAGATATGCGCATAAAACTGAGTAAAAGAGGCGAACTTTGAAGCACACAGTGACAGCTCATGACTACTGACGTCAGCTCCATTTCTTGAGATATTCTAAAGATACTGAATGGTCAATGATAGGATCCTCTTCTTTTATGAGGGGCAATATTAAAGACAAAAGGTAACTGGTGCAGTGAATACACAAAAAATACAAATTCCTGCGTTTTTAAAAGGAAACTGTTTTAATCATTATCTAATTCATGATGAAATGTTTATTGAATGTTGTGTATCCTAGCAGACCTACACAGTGTAATACAGTACCTGTAAGAACAAGATTGTGATTTGCCCCACAGGTGACCTTCGACACATGGTGCACACACTCCACAAGGCGAGGGACAACCACATTTTCATTAGAACCACTGCCAATTTGTCCATAATCATTCTGCCTGTAGGGAGAAGAGCATAAACGCATAATTAAAAACATAACTAGCTACCTGCGGGCATCATCTTCATACTCTTTAATCACATTTTTAAAGTATATACAACACATTTCCAAAGCATGAAAATATTGCACATCTTCCAATTTCTATAGGGTAAAATAAATAATCAAATTAATTAAACTATTGCAGTGAGCAGATTCCACTGGGACCGTGAAACATATGTGTTTCCTCCCATTTCTACGAATCCTCTTTGTGACAATAACGAGACACAGCCCTATCAGAAGTGAAACACCTCACTAACTAATTAGACTCTCAGGCTGCAGTCTGACAAAATAAAAAGAGAAAAGTGCTTGAAGGGAGACTTGCTCTCCCGCAATTTGCATCTGCCACTTTTTACTGCATCTGTTCCAAGTGCCATTCAACGTTCTCTTCCTCCTTTTGTTGGGAAGTGTTGAGCCCCAACTATTTAAGCTCACCTCCTACCTACCCAGAGCTTTGTTCCTGCTCCTCTGCAGACCAGTAATGAGCCAACCGCCACAAAACTGCTTGGAAATTAATGACTCATTACGGACGGGGCCTAGACCGCTCCGCAGCCTCTCCTCCTCCCCCGCTCCACCCACATGCCCGCATGTAATCCTCTCTCTCTCTCCCCCCTTTCTCTCTCTCTTACCCTCATCCCTTCAGCCCATACAGAAAGACCCCAACACCTCCCTATCAATTAGAGCCTATTACAGGGCTCCCATGCTAGCAGGGTAAAGAAAGAGGGCCTTCACAGCTCAAGAGTGTGTGCAGGAGAGATTGGGAGAGTTGAATGAGGAGCCTTAAGGTGCTCCTTTCACACCCTTGCCCTTATCCATTATGCCAGTCTGTAAAGCCCCCTAGGAGAAACGTGCAGCCCCAAAAAGACTTGGGGATGAAAATAAGTCAAGGGAGGGATTCTTGGTCACACCTTTTCCCTTTTCCTTCTACTTCAGTGTCAAATTATATCATAACTAGTCCTTAAGCAAAGTAACATGGTCACTGTGCTCCTCCTTTAAATGGAGTGTTAGAAAAAGATGTCGAGCTCTGAATGGCATGTATTAATCATACCATCTGCGTCTGTATTCATAGACTGACAGACTGAGACAGATATTAACAAGATGAAAAAAAATGGTGGACAAGCACCTACACATGAAAATTCATGTGGTTATTGATTTCTTTTAGTTTCACTCCCTTTTACCCTCCATTGCATTCCCCTAGGCAATACCTACTTATTCATGGGATTGTTGGTCTTTGTTCAGAGGCAAAAATACTGTTCTACATTGCCAGCATTTTAGAATATCTTTTCTTTTTTTTTTTCCCTGATAGGATATGTATCAGCTTTTCATTCAAGCATTCTATGCTCACTGGCTTTTGAAGCTATGGTGCATTTCAAGGCAATCCCTCTGAGAGCGAATGGGTGAGATCACATGGGTTTGAGGTGGTTTAGAATGGCAAATCCTGCTGAAAGTGTCATTTCCAGTCGGAGACATCAATTTGGTGTGTGAAACAGGGGCCCAGGAGAGCCCGATAGCCCGGGAGATTCCTGACAAGAGCAAAGGGCCTGGGGATCAGCTCATACTCACCTGGATAAGAAAGGAATTTCACAAAGCGCTTCAAATACATGAAGCAAAGTGTGAAAGGAGGAAGAGAGGTGGAAACACGATAGACAACTTAGAATAAAGTGCAGAGAGAATCTAAAAAGAGAGGGCCTGTTTAACATCACTTCGATAATCTATGATGGGTCTCTTTGTGTAGCACGTACTAAATTATAGCAATGCTGCATTTGTTGTAGAGAGGTTGCAAAAATAGCATTAAAAAAATAAATATGCCATAAAAAAAAAAAATCCCACATCCAGACAACTAAATCCAATCAAATTAACAGCGACACAACTTCTTGTCCTGTTTGACTTTGATACTATTGTATAGCTGTTTACATTAGTTAGAAAAACACACAAAAAAACTAGTTGATCAATGACCTCCATCTGGGGAAGACTGTCAACGCTCATAAATATGGTTAATAGGGAGATATTAAAACACTGACATGCACAAATTAAAAATCAAAATTATTGGTAGCACTATTTCTGGCCAAACATTTTGGTAACTGTAAAACAGTGCACACAGGCGGCAGTATTATCTCTAATATAAAGCCTCAATTAGCTTAAGTGAGAGCAAAATGGCTGATAATTATTGCACCAGCTCATTAGACTTGTTTTGACACTAAAACCACTTAAATCACCACACAGGCATAAACACAAGCACAGATGCAAATACACACATGCAGATGTTAGAGTTTATTCCCGTCATAATGAGGCAGATACTGTACAGGTTGGGTTTTACTTGTTTAGAGGAAAAACTAAACACTTCAAACGAGATTTAATAGGGTCTTACCATTACACGAGCAATTTATAAATAGTATACGGATGGAGAGTGTAATAAAATGATACCTGACAGAAAAACCAATCGCAAAGGAGCTTCAGGAAGCATGTTTTAGTGAACCTCAGGTCTACTTAGAGACATGTGGTTATGTTTTTTTTTACCTCATAAGAGCAAAATGCATTCAGCTTAGTACAAAATGCTTGTGTAGTTTAGAGTCTTGATAAGATCTCAGGATAAAAACTGATAATGTAGAAGTCAATAACAAAGTCACTCAACTTTAGAAGACATATCCTGAGTAAAGCAAACAGGATTGATTGCTGACTCAATTGATTTCTTGAAAATATTATCTATGAAATAGTGAAGAGCACAAAAGCAAGGCAATCATCTGCTGTACCTGCAATAGATCTTGGCTAATAATGATACAGGCTCCTAAAGAATAAAATCCTTGGGGCCGGCCATGAAAGTTTAAGATTCAATGCGGTAAAATACAATGTGCCGTAAAATATTAATGTGTGTGGTAAAATTATGCTGGTGGTAATATTTTAGATTGCTGCTGTCTGTAAAAGAGACATATCTGTATTTATTTACAAGCAGGGATAGTGGATGGGGGCTTTGTTTGAAGCCATGTTTATGAATATCGACTCTGGCTCCTAGGTAAGTGGCTATAAATCTGCAAGAGGATCTTTGTAAAGTTCCCTTGGAGGACATAACTTCAGGTCTAACCGTCTCCTTCCTTCACTTGACTTTTAAACATTTAGATATAGCCTGGCCAACTACATTCAGAGCAGCTTCTAAATTATGAAGGCTTCCATTTCGATAGTACAAGTGTTAACCAATCAGAGTTGATAAATTGTGCTAATAGATTTATCGAGCGTGGACACATAGGTGCGTCGGGCCCTTGATCTGGAGTGTTTATGAGTTTGGGAATAATTAAATGGATCTCTGCACAATTTGCTATGTTCCAGATGTTGACTTGGATGTAAAAGTTGCCTTAAACCCTCGAGATTCACACCATCTACCCACGCTCATTTAAATATACTTACACCAGATACAGATCATTATTTTTATTTTTTTTTTCAAAGTATGCATGTAGCGTTTAACTTTTCATCCACATCTTTCAATGCTAGTCTCTTTGGGTGAAATGATGAAAAGTGTGAACTACTTGAAACCGAGAGCGTGACCTGTGCTAATGAGGGGAGCATTACTCGTATGATCAAAAAGATCATATATCACGTAGCTCATATCACCTAAGGCTATCGAGACCAGCTGGAAAAGTTGTATAGGTCCCCCCTGGATGAACCTTTTGCGGATGACTCATTTACACCTTCTTTTTCTTTTTATTCGCCACCATATCTTTGACATGTTTATCTATTTATTTTGGTTCAGAGTTCGGAAGTTCAGATCGCAGGGGTGATTGCATTAGTAATAGTGCGGCAGTTGGCTGACCTGCAGATGATGGACACAGAGGTCTGTATCCTCCGGCAGCGATGATTACATAGGAGCGAGGATTAAGAGAACTGATTTCTTTCCCGGTTGAGTTCAAAGGGCTCAATCAAAGTGTTTCACTGCTGAACTCTTGCCCCTCACTTTCAATGCATAATTAACTGACAAGTGGTGATAAGGTTGAGCCCTGTGAAAATACTGCTTTTTGGTTTTCCTGCCTGGTGATGAATGCAGCAACAGTTGATGTCACTATGCGCTAATAAATGGCTGGAAAGCTTCATTGATCCAACCATCTAATTCCAAGAAAATAGCTTCCTCCTGAGCTAAATTGGAGAAAATTGACAACCCCCCCATTAAAGCCCCAACTCTGTCTTTCACTCTCCTCTTTTTCTTTTCTTCATTTCTTCCCTTTTCCATTTCTTTTTCCCCCAGTGTGACTCCTGCTTTCTCCGGGCTAATCCTCAAGGCCTATCCGTTTATGTAGAACCTCAACTATCTCCCTCTTGCCATTCTGTCCCTGACGCTAGCTGACACTAGGTATCAGTTCACACCCTGAACACACAAAGAGAGGTGCTAAACAAGGACTTCAGGACATGTCACAGCACACTTAAAGGGCTTCACAGTAATACAGGAGGAGTTTAGACATGGCAGAGTGAGCAGAACACGTTCACTGAAGGAACTGAAGGACACAACACACCAGCATACTGTACACACAAACCCAGTCTGGTCTCAGAATCAAACTGGTATATTCAATGAATTACACTGTATGACTTAAATGTCCACCAAGCCAATAAAAAACAGAATCAACAGAGAAAAATGTAGTGATATAAAAGTAAAAATACATTTTTAAAATTCCTTGATTTCAATGGCATCATGTTTGGTGTTGCGCGTAACAGTCACAACCATAAGACTCTGTTACTACTGAAGAGGTACATACTTCATCCACTGAAATGTCTTTTTTTTCTGAGAAACCATGTGTGTTTGCAGTTATGCTAGTTATACTGTGCTTCTGAGATCTAATGCAATTAGGCAATGTTTAGTGCTTAATCAGTGTTGATTACCTGTTGAACATTACAAACAGGCAGCCTCCTGGCTCTTGGAGACATGAAGGTTGAGCTGCACTAATTAAAACTGATGCAGAAATGAAGGAGAAGGAAGCTAAACAA